ACCCTAAATCCTAAACCCTAAAGTAGCCCTAAAACCCTCAACCCTAAATCCTAAACCCACTTGTGGCAGGCAAGGATCAGCTTCGAGCCAGACCCGGCCCAAGTTCTTCATCTCACCACCATCGCCGCGGAGGATCCCCTGGGCTTAGTTTAGGGTTTAGGGAGTTTAGAGTTTAGGGCTTAGGGAGTTTAGGTTTTGGGTTTTTTTTCGAGGTTGAGGGGCTATTTCGGATTTCCTTTCAAGGTTGGTTAGGGTTTAGGCTATTAGGGTTTGGGTTTTCGTTTGGGGATTTAGGGGCTATTTCGGGTTTCCTTTCAAGGTTAGGGGGGACTTGGCGGCTTAGGGGCTTCCTATAAGGGTTATGATCGGCGTTCTATCAGGGTTGAGGGGTTTTGGGGCTTGGAGCTGAGGTTGAGACTTAAAACAAGCCGGGGATCCACCTACCGTTTTAAGGGGTCTACCCTCTACTTAAGGGGTCATAACCTACTATGTTGTAGGGTTTGGGGTCACAGGAAGTTCTGTCGTACTTGTGTTGGAGGCCTCGCGTCTGTACTACACCCCAAAGTCCAATGCATTATTGCGCCTTATGGAGCTTTCGTCCCCCTGCACTTGGGTAGTTTTCTAAATTAGGGTCCCTTTGGGGTCCTTGTTATAAGGGTGCCGTACTACATTGGGGATCTAGAAAAAGACCCTAATTTAGAGAACTACCCACTTCGAGACCTTGCAGAGCCTATTCTTGAACCCTTGAGCAACACTTCCTCCTGCAGGATGATTCTCCCGAGATGGAGCAGCGCCGGGCAGAGCAGGAGAAGCTTGAGCGCGAGCGCGGCGAGCAGAAGGAGAAGTTACACGGCATGTCCGGATCATAGGAGTTCGGGCTCCAAGAACAGCATGTAAAGCCTATAAGCCTTAAAGCCCTCTGCGAGAGTTACCCTATCAGAGCCCTGAGTATGTCAATGGCCTGCGTTCCAACCCCAATTAGAGATTGAGGTCTGCAGAGCTGGGGATTCGGGGATGTAGAGTGCGCTTACAACATTAAAGCGTCCAAAGTATGCATGTATGAAGTGAGATTTTGATGAATCAAGGCTGCGCAGATTTTGCACGCTTTCCGAAAAAGAATGACGACTTTGGACTACTTTCAGATGATGTTGTTGCTTTTTCAGGGTTGTATTTTTTGAAGGGGCTGCTGCGGACAAGTGCTAAGAAGAATAAGAGCATTAATTACAAATAAGAATAGTAGTCACAACTGTCATCATAATAACAATAATAACAATCACCAGGCATGTTGGGTTGAGGATTCCGGCCATGTGCTCTGCACCTTCATCTTGAGCTTCAGATACTCCCTTTCAGCCTTCAACGCCGGAAACCAGAGCTGCAAAACTGTGCGACGAAAACGGTTTCCAGCTTATAATAGGAGGAATTTAACTACTACTTTTAGCAGCATTTTTCTTATAATTATGATCATTATGATTGATATTCGTACTATCGGGCAAACGGTTGGCGGGAGAGATTGAATGTTGAAGCCGCTACCTCGAAGTCCCAAACCGTGGCTCTATGCCGGGTGATCCTCTTCGAAATATCCCCCTAAACCCTGAATCTAATCCCTCGGAGATCCTGCCTTACACCCTGGACCCTGAACGTAAACCCTGGGAGATCCCGCCCCAAACCCTGAACCCTAAACGCAAACCCTTTGGATATCCCGCCCAGGACCCTAAACCTTGAACCCTGAACCCTAAACGCAAACCTTTGGGATATCCCGCCCCGGACCCTAATGACTGATACCTGAGCGCAGCTTTCTAGCAAGGGGTGTTCGCGGTAATGTAGTCTTTCGGGGCAACTAACCATGCAGATGGAAAAGGGACCTTAAAAAAGAAAACCTTGAAGCCTTAACCTTAACCCTAAACCCCAAACCCTTAAACCCTAAACCCCAAACCCGTGCATCAGCAGCAAACGCCTTGAGGAGAGAACAGCCGTTCTGACGCCTGAGCCCCAGGGTCTGAACTTTCCTGGAAGATTAAAGGGCCCTTACCTTCGTGTTTAGGGTTTAGGGTTTTAGGCTTAGGGTTTACGGTTTACGGGATTGGGGCTTAGGATTTCGGGTCCTTACATAGAGTCAGAATAGGGGATAGGGCCTTATAGCGTTGGAACAGGGCTTTGAGTGTAGGGTTTAGGTGCCATATAGTAGCATGGGTTTTCTCTAAAGAATTCCTTTAATGGTCGCCATAAGGGTTACCGTCAAGGAGCTTGAGGTTTGGGAGTCAGGGTTACTGGATTATGGTTCAGGCTTTCAGGCCATAGGCTTTCACGCGTTTCCCCAGTATGTAAAGGCTCGGGTCGTGGGGTTTACGGGTTTAGGTTCGCATCTCGTGTTTGGTCTTCATGGTTCGGAGCTTGGAGATACTGGTCTAGGGTTTAGGGACTAGAGATCATTCTCTTGCCGCGTCTACACGAATCCAGTAGAACAGGACTTCCAGCCGCCCTTCCGTAAAGCCCATTAATATGGCGCAGCCCACTATTTACGATGAAACCCCTCTGACACAGGCTTGAGTTTCTTCAAGCTCGGAGTGTCCTTCAGCTGCTCGGGAACTTTTAGCGCTCCGCGCTAGAGGATTCTGTATCGAAAGTATGCCTTTACACACCGTAAAACCGCCACCCATCTCTAAACCCGGAGAAGATCTTAGTGTTCTTCACATACCGGGACCCGAAAGAACCAACCTGTTTAGGGTTTCTTATTATGATCTCCCAATGGAAGTCCTTAAAAAGGTAGGTTATTCCGGGTCCAGGTAGTTCCTAGAACTCCCCTAAACCCTAAACCCTAAACCCTAAACCGCTAAACCCCTAAACCCTAAACCCCAACCTGGGACTGGGGCCGAGGCTGGAGGATTTGACCATGGACACGGTGGCCATGCATACGGAGGCAGCAGGGTTTCGGTGAGGCTTTGACTCTCCAAAATCCAGACCCCAAACCCTAAAACTCTAAAACCCAAGCCTCTAAACCCCTAAACCCTAAAACCCTAAACCCTCAACCCTAGACCCCAAAACCCCTAAACCCTAATCCCCTAAAGCCGTAAACCCCTAAACCCCTAAACCCTTAAACCCTAAACCCTAAACGCCTAAACCCTAAACCCCTAAACCCTGTGCCTTGCAGGTTGAACCCCCAAACCCGAAACCCCGAAACTTTTCAGGGCCCGACCTCGGTGTCTTCAGTAGGGTCTAGAGTTTAGGGTTTAGGGGTTTAGGGGTTTAGGGGTTTAGGGGTTAAGGGTTTAGGGGTTTAGGGGTTTAGGGGTTTGGTGGGGCTCAGGTTTTAGGGGTTTAGGGCTTAGCGGCTCAGGTTTTAGGGGTTTAGGGTTTTGACGTAGCGTGGCATACCGAAAACCGACGTCCGCCAAGCAGCCTAATGAGTAAACCGATCAGAAACGAGCTCTACTGACTGCAGCCCCGGACACACGAACCCAAGTTCGACCTTAATTATCCCCCAAACATACGGCTGTGTTCGTGGGCAGAATAGTACATTATGGACCTAGAGAATGTACTGTCGTTTTTCTGCGTCGTCCGGTTTGCTTCAGCTACCAAACATGCTAGAATCATAAAATTCCCTGGTGGCTTGCTCAGCAGTTGTTCTTAGTACTCCGGGTTCTTCGCCAACTATGTACGGAGCCGTACCAGATTCCTGGAAGGCAGTGATTCCGTAACGGCTGCTCTAAGCTAAAAAAGCCTCTCTACCTGGAGGGTCATGGGCAGGGGTTAGACGTTAGAACTCCCCCCACTATGGGTTTTAAGATGCTTTAAGATAGTTACCCTACTAAAAACCCCGGCTATACCTACCTATGAGACTCCAAGGAGGGGCATGAGGGTTTGCAACTTGTCTTCCCTCAGGTCTCGTCGGATTTCTCAGGCATATGCAGAGACCCTCGAAGCCTCAGTTTGCCCTAAGTCCAAGTTACATTTTTGAGGGCTATGCCCTCATGTTGGAGTCATAGCCTAAACCCTAAACCCTAAACCCTAAACCCTACCATTGATTACAGGGTTTGGTCTGACAGCCAAGTGCTAAAATGTAAAACTCTGAAGGTGTTTAACCCCGTTCCCTAAAGCTCTGCACCCCAAAACGTCCTACTTGCAGAAACCCGCTGTGCCCCTTTTTGAAACCTGCCCTGGTTCAGGGGACTTAATTGATAGGTACGGATCATGTGTTAAGCCTACACCCTGAACCCCTCAGCCAGACGTGGCGTTCCGAACCCCGACATGGCAAGAGAACACAGGGTTAAAGAACAAAAAAAATTGATGACTTTGGAGCTCAGGGGGCTGAGAAGTCGGCCATCTAGGCGAGACTTACTTCTGAGATATTCTGAGTAAGCCTTGAACCCTAAGGGGAGCCTGAACTCCTCACAGTGTTGGGGTCAGGGGCTAAGGGTTTAGGGGTTCAAGCATTCAGGGTGCAAGGGTTTATGAATATGTAGGGATAGAGAAATCCTGTAGAGCCTAGATTAGCAAGTGAGGGGCCTACGTAGACAATAGAACATTATATAAGTATTTTTCTCTACCAAATTTCGGGCTATATTTCTCAATTATAACGAATGACAGTAGTGAGAAGAAGAATCCGAGTAAGAATGCCAATTTCAATAAGAACAAGAAGAGTACGAAGCACAAACACATACACAAATGCACCAGTACGAAATTGAAATATACATACCAACATAAGGGTAATGTACGTGCGTATGTATGTAGGTATGTATGTATGTATGTACGTACGTAGATATGTATGTATGTATGTATGTATGTATGTATGTATGCATGCATGTATGTATGTATGTATGTATGTAGGTCTGTAGGTATGTATGTATGGATGTATGTATGTATATGATGAAGACAACCTGTTGCCAGGATGTCTTCAAGCTGAAGTTCATCCGTTCCATTGCAGAGGCATTACAGATTCCGAAGCATCGGGTCAAGGTGCGCGCCCTCCTCCCGACGAAGATTTCTGTCATTCTTACACTGAAACCCAAGATATGCTGAACCCTAAGCGCCACGTCCTACTGTAGACCCTGAATCCCCATTTTGATGCCGGAGGACCCCGATTAGTTGAGGTTTGTGTTTTTTGGGTTGTAGCTGGCTGACGGAAGCTTTCCGTGTTGAGCTGCTTCCTAATATAAACCTTAAACTCCCAAACCCTAAACTCTAAACCCTGGAACTCTAAACCTTATACTCGCGACCCTAAACACTACACCCTAAACACTCAATCCTATATCCTGTACACCTTACCTAAGTAGACCGTTCAACTACCCGTTGAAGGGATCTCCTATTCCTCATGAGCAGATAGTTTTAGGCTACAGTAAAGGGTAGTTGGGGGGTCTAGGTAAGCTGCAAACCCCAAAGCCTAAACACTACGCCCTAAACTGAACCCTAAACTCTAAACCCTACACCTTTTAACAATCTCTAAGCCCTAAACCCTACACCTTCTAAACTCTAAACCCTAAACCCCAAATGTGGATCCTTGTTGTTCAGAGATCCGGGACTTGGGATTCAGAAGTTTCGGCTGGGAAGGATGTAGGGCTTCAGGTTTTGAGGGCTTTGGGTTTAGGGTTTATAAGAGGTTCCTTTAAAGGGTACTATAGGGATCCTAGGCTTCCTTTAACGTGTACTATGGGGTTTAGGGGTTCAGGGTTTTAGGGTTTAGGGTCTAGGGTTTTAGGGTTTGTGGTTTGGGGTTTATAGGGTTTTAGGATTTAGGGATATGAGGTTTGGTGGTGGGTCTTGAGAGTTAGGATCGTTTTGTGATTTGAGGTGTAGGGTTTGCGCTTGGACCTGGGGCAGGAGAGATCAGAACTCCAGGACTAGGGTTTGAACCTCAGAATCCTTAAAGCCTATGCTTCAAGTGCGTTGGATCTGATGTTTAGGAACTGTGGGAAAATATGCGAAACCCTCATCAAGTTTAGCCACCCCTCACCTCATAGAGCCCCCAAACGAACCTTTGAAGGAACCGTGGCTGTTGTGGCAAGACTCTCTCGCTACACTTGGGCCCTACACCGGTGTTAAAGTGTACAGAAAAAAGGGGAACACATACAAACCCAAGTTGGTGGGACTCCCCATTACATAGCCCTACACCCTGAACCACAGGTGCCTAAACCTTGGCGGGTTGTGAGCTTGAGACAAGGATTCTGCTTGAGCGCATGGCCGGATGTGGATGCCTGCAGCTCACCATCCTGGACCGACAGGCGGATCGTAGCGTGCGAGCATCAAAGTTGCACTGAAACCACGCATCCTTGCAGACAGACAAATACGATACGTAGTCATGTGAATTTACCATGTCATATGTGTTTTTCTAGCTACAGTAGTTACTTACACCCTAAACTCTAACCCCTGAACCGGTGGCTTTGCCACCTGAAGTCCTAATCGGGCCGAATTATCCTCGGAGCCAAAAGCGCAAGCCCTCGCATCTGCCCGAGGGGACGCAGACGCTTCAAAGTGAGGTAAGAAGGGTTTGGCCACGAGAAAGAAAGAAGACAAATAGATAGATAGGCAGGTAGACAGATAGATAGATAGATAGATAGATAGATGGATGGATCGATCGATATATACATATTTTGAACAGATGAAGTGATCGATCGATCGATAGAAGTATAGACCGAGAGATCGACAGGTAGATAACGGTTTCAAGTTGTTTTCCGGTGCGTAGCATTGGGTACCTAGGAGCCCTCAGCTGCATACAGAGTTCTTCCTGCAAAGCTCGCACCGGATCTGGCTATGCTCGCTGCCGGGCTGCGCCGCTCCTTGAGCCAGACGCGTGCTGCACTGGCGAGGTCCTCGAGGTTAGGGCAATAGGTATTTCGCTCTCGTACGGTATAGACCCACATGTCCCTGGAAGTTATAGCACCGTTACCGCACACTGACAGCTACAAACCGTCACACCGCACAATCGCTTGGAAGGTTTCGAAGATGTCCTAAACACCGTTCCGGCCCGGTTGTGAACCCTCAAAATATAAACCTCTACACAGTTGAGATTATGAAGTTTACGGGGCATGCTAGAACGTTTAGTCTCCATCCCAGCCCTATAGCCGAAATCGCGCCCCCAACAGAACCTGGTGGCCTGTACCAATGCATAGTTCAGACCCCTGAACTCAGTCTAAGCCGTAAACCCCAAGCCCCTATGATGTAGTCTTATAGAAAAGCAAAAATGGTTTTTCAACCTAGATAACCTACTATGATATACTCGGATGTACTCCGCAAACCGCTATTGCAAACCCCGCCACCTTGAACGCTTTCCCAGGCCCCTCCAAGCCCTGCTGTCCCGGAAACTGACCCGGAAGAAACTTTCAGACATCAAACCCTGAACCCTAAACCCTTAAACCCTAAACCCCTAAACCCTAAACCCTAAACCTGAACCCTAAACCTAAACCCCATATCCCAAGCTCCGCAAACTGCTACAGCCTTCCAGCTCCTAAGTCACAAAGCCCGGGGCCGCAGAACACCCAAAAATCTGGCCTATACCTCTCCCTGGATTCCTTAACCTCCCAAAAATGCCCTCACGGTTTAGGGTTTAGGGTCGGGTTTAGGGTTTAGGGTTGAGGTTTTAGGGTTTAGGGTTTAGGGTTTAGGGCATCTTTGACCCTAAACCTAATGCCACCTGATACCCTGAACCCTAACCAACAAAAGACCCTGAGAAGGTGCTCCCGAGCAGCCTTGACTGGCTCTTCTTATGCGCCGGTGCAGCGGCGAGCGGTGCCAAAGCAGCCGCTTCTCCGGATTTCGAACTTCGTGGATTCGGGTTGCCTTGGCTTTTGGGATACGTTGTTTTGTTGTTTCGAGCTTGCAGGTGTTAGGATTCGGGGGTGTTGTTTTCAGCATGCAAAAGACCTGAGGTCTTGGCAAGGCTTAGGTTTTCCTTGGCCTTCTGTGCAGTTGATAGGTGTTTTGCACCAACGTTTGCTGAAGGGCAGTGGGGTACTCTCGTTCCAAGAAACGTCGAATCCGCTGATTTCCGGGAGTTGGTAAAGTCCCGAGGTTTACCCACACAAGAAGTCGTCAAGACCAGAAGTCACCGTCGCCCTGAAACCTCGACCCTACCTTGAACTACCAAAACAATATTTTCGCTCATCATATGAATCTTACATAAAAGTAGGTGATGGTACTTTCAGGTAGAAACTAAACTCCAACCCGCTTACCCCTGGAATGCAAGGCTTGAGTCTGCCCTGGAACAAGATGAAGCACCGCCGCGCAGCCGGGAGGCAGGACCATTAAACCTAAACCCTGATAGCCCGATAGGTACCATTATACGTCAAAAAACCCTGTAACAGCCTTTGAGAATGGTGAAATCCTGAACCCACATTGAACCCTAACCTTCTAAAAACCATAACAGGATAGACCTTCGGATATTTCTTGAGCATCAAGAGCGATTGAAACCGCAAGCCCCCACACCCTAAGTCATACCGAGTATCGCAAGCAATGCTTAAACGGAGCAGGGGGGGCAAGCAGAATCTACAGCGGTGGATGCCGTCCTACCTCAAGAATCCTAGAACTCTCCGTTCAGGATTTAAGGTTTATAGGGCCAAGGTTTAGGGATGTTTAGTGATTAGTGTTACCATCGTGCATGTTTCCAGTGTTCGTGTCCTAACTTGACTCGGCCCTGACTCATCTTCAGCGCAGATCCCTAGCCTCATACTACCCAAGAAGGGCAACACCAATATTCTGTATCGTTACATGTGCAACTCCAAGGGTTTAGAGGGTTTAGAACATGTTAAGGGGTTTACCACAATTTGAAGGGTTTAGGGTTGAGGGTTTAGAGTAATATTTGGAAAGTATCTCCTCTGTGCAGAATTATGCTTTTGGTGCGAAACCTCTGTCCATGCCCTTCCAGCAAGCCTTCCCTGGCATCCCACAAACCCTGAACCCTCAAACCCACGACACCGTCCCACTGCACTATGCATCCTAAACCTCGAACTCTAAACCCTCAAAACCTAACCAAACAAGCCTTGAACGAGAGACTCACAACCGAAGATTTGGATTTGCGTGGGGGTTTAGGGTTTAGGGTTTAGGGTTTCATCGATTTTCAAGGTGCGCAGTGTTGCCGAAATGCATGTGGCGCACTGTCATTCCCTGGCAGCTCGGCTTCAGCGGGAATCGGCTTTGGTAAAAGTCTAGCAAGCTGGCCGATACATTGATTGCATGAGGCGGAAACCCCGAACTCCAAACCCCGGAACCCAAAGCCCTACAACGTCAAGGCTCCGAGATTTCGGGCTTGGGGCTCCTTCCGGGTTCCTGGGTTTGGGATTTGGGCATTTGGGGCTCAGAGTTTCAACCCCAATCCCCAAACCGCAAACCCTAAACCC